GTTTCCTTATTTCTTAGAGGGAGTTGGAACCGGGTGAGTGTTCGGAGCCGGTTCGCCGCTGTCTGACCGGCCGGTCCGGTCCGGTTTTGATAACACGGACTAATAAGGTTCTGAACTAATTGTAGTGAACAATGATTGTTTTAGGGATTATTGTGATACGGAAAAATAGCTACTGATTCTCGGATAGTAACTTTTGGTTTGTAAAATATAACGAAAAGAGCTTTATATATTACTAGCCGTCAGGGTTAATCTGCTAACTGCATTATTCGTTAGCAGATACTCACAAGGCCAGATTTTGGGCCACGTCGGCCCATGTTTCATCCAACGGAGGAGAGAGGCGGCGGGGTGGTGGCTCACTTAAGTGAGCTAGAAATGGGGTTCTGTGTATAAGTCGGGCCAGCGTGCGGTGATGAAGGCGAGCCGAGCAAGTGGCGTGGTGGGCCATGCTTCAGTTTGACCGGGATTTTGGAGAGGAGTGGAAAGAGAATGAAAATTGTGGGCCCCTTGAGATATTCATGTATGTTTGTTTGTGTGGATATTTATTTGTTTTCAGTCGATATTATTATGTGTTGTGTTGATATTACTTTGCATCATTGTTGAAATGAACTGGTATTCTTCCTTCGCAAACCAATATCCATCATTAAACTAATATTTATCAAACACCAAAATAACCCATACACCCGAAACTAATTACAACAATTTAGATTTTAAGTTTTAGGGTTTAGGGTTCAGGTTTTCAATTTGTGAAGGATTGGAATATTGTTTCTTACATCAAATTAAACACACTAGGAAATTAAACAAACTAGGAAGTCCAAACACATAAAACTTGCAACCTTAGTTAGGGCTGCCCGCCGAGGGCCCATGGGCCGAAGGCCCATTAAATAATTATAGTTTTATGGTTTAGGGTTTGTGTTACGGTTTAGGGTTAAGGGTTTAGGGTCTAGCTTAGATTTTAATTGATATTTGTTCAAGTTTTCTAATAGGGCACTTTTGGTAATTATTAAGATGTTTTCCAACATTTATTTAAACAAGTAGCACTTTTGGTAACTATTTGGATTAGTGTACAACTATCATATATTAGTTAGTGTGTGGTGGATATTGGTCAGTATATGGTTGATATTATTTTGTTTGTGGTGGATGTTAGTCAGTGTGTTGTTGATATTGGTTTGTTATATTTACAATTTTATTTAGGTTACTCTAGATATTGGTCTGAGATGTTTGGATATTGTTCTGTAGGGTTTGTGTTAAGGTTTAGGGTTTAGGGTTTAATGGTTTAGTTTTGAGAGTTTAGTTTTGGTTTGAATTTATATTAGTTCATGTTTTTGTATATTTGACTGGGACGTTTGGATATTCTAATGAGGCACTTTTGGTAATTGCCCATTAAATAATAATAGTTTTAGTATTTATGGTTTAGAGTTTGTGTTGGGAAGAGGTTTAAGGGTTTAGGGTCTAGCTTTGGTTTGAAGTGATATTATTTCATGTTTTCGGAAATTTTATTGGACGTTTGTATATTCTAATGGGGCACTTTTGGTAACTATTACGATGTTGTCCAACGTTTACTTAAGCATCTAGCACTTTTGGTAACTATTTGGATTAGTGTACAACTATAAGATATTAGTTAGTGTATGGTGGATATTAGTCAGTGTATGATGGATATTATTTTATGTGTGGTGGATGTTTGTCAATGTGTTGTGGATATTGGTTTGTTATATTTACAATTTTATTTAGGTTACTCTAGATATTGGTCGGAGATGTTTGGATATTGTTATGTAGGGTTTGTGTTAAGGTTTAGGGTTTAGGGTTTAATGGTTTAGTTTTGAGAGTTTAGTTTTGGTTTGAATTTATAGTAGTTCATGTTTTTGTATATTTGACTGGGACGTTTGGATATTCTAATGAGGCACTTTTGGTAATTGCCCATTAAACGATAATATTTTTAGTATTTATGGGTTAGAGTTTGTGTTGGGAAGAGGTTTAAGGGTTTAGGGTCTAGCTTTGGTTTGAAGTGATATTATTTCATGTTTTCGGAAATTTTATTGGACGTTTGTATATTCTAATGGGGCACTTTTGGTAACTATTACGATGTTGTCCAACGTTTACTTAAGCATCTAGCACTTTTGGTAACTATTTGGATTAGTGTACAACTATAAGATATTAGTTAGTGTATGGTGGATATTAGTCAGTGTATGATGGATATTATTTTATGTGTGGTGGATGTTTGTCAATGTGTTGTGGATATTGGTTTGTTATATTTACAATTTTATTTAGGTTACTCTAGATATTGGTCGGAGATGTTTGGATATTGTTATGTAGGGTTTGTGTTAAGGTTTAGGGTTTAGGGTTTAATGGTTTAGTTTTGAGAGTTTAGTTTTGGTTTGAATTTATAGTAGTTCATGTTTTTGTATATTTGACTGGGACGTTTGGATATTCTAATGAGGCACTTTTGGTAATTGCCCATTAAACGATAATATTTTTAGTATTTATGGGTTAGAGTTTGTGTTGGGAAGAGGTTTAAGGGTATAGGGTCTAGCTTTGGTTTGAAATGATATTAGTTCATGTTTTCGGAAATTTTCTTGGACATTTGTATATTCTAATGGGGCACTTTTGGTAACTATTAAGATGTAGTCCAACGTTTATTTAAGCATCTAGCACTTTTGGTAACTATTTGGATTAGTGTACAACTATAAGATATTAGTTAGTGTGTGGTGGATATTAGTTAGTGTATGGTGGATTTTATTTAGTGTGTGGTGGATGTTAGTTAGTGTGTTGTGGATATTATTTTGTTATATTTACAATACTATTTAGGTTACACTAGATATTGGTTGGAGATGTTTGGATATTGTTCTGTAGGGTTTGTGTTAAGGTTTAAGGTTTAGGGTTTAATGGTTTAGTTTTGAGAGTTTAGTGATTAGGGTTTAGTTTTGTTTGTTTAGGATTCATGGTTTTAGGGTTTAGGGATCAGGGGTGGGTATAACTATTAGATATTAATTAGTGTGTTGTTGATATTTGTCATTCTTAGTTTTAATATCATTTATTGATCACCAGATTTTTCTCTGAAAGATTGGGATGTGTTTCTGGTATGTTTGGATATTTATTTGAACCTGAAGAATATTCATTTAGTTCATGTGTTGGATATTTGTGTGGAATGTTGAGATACTAGTCTTGGTGGTGTTTATATTTGTTAGGGTGAACAACTATTAGTTGGGTGGGCCCGAATCTGTTTTGGGCGGGCAGTTTGGGATTTTGGGGAAATTGGGGAAAGAAATCCCAATTTGTATCAGAAATAGAAGTGACGGGGCAATTAGTGCCATAACCACTTTCTCTCTCTCAACTCTCTCAACCCCTCCTTCTCTCTTCTTTTCTCTGAATTCTCTCTTCCTTTCTCCGACGGAAAAGTCGGCGGCGCGGTGGCCTTCATATTTCGTCTACATCCTCCGCCGTCCAGGGAAACGTCCCTGATGATGATCGATGATGAGGACGAGTCGACTCGTCCTCATCAACGAGCTCGTCCCATGAAGAAGAAGAAGAATTTGTTGATGGTGTATTAGAAGGTTTGAGTCAAATAGATGGTGGTTGTGTGCTTGGCTTCGATGCAACAGTAGTAGTAGTAGTAGAAGAAGAAGAAGAAGAAGAAGAAGAAGAAGAAGGTGATTATGGATTGACATATTTATAAGTTTGTGTTGTTGAGTTTTGGTTGGGAGCATTGAATGAAACTTAATGTCTTTGGTGTGAGTTTAATGTTTGTTGGTCATGGTGGGATTCTACTATGAGCTAATGGGATATTATTTACCTACTGTTTGTTGGAAGTAGTGTGTAACCTATGTTTATTTTGTGTGGATATCAGTCTGGGCGTTTTTTATATTGACTTAATTATTGTGGATACTAGTACGTCAGATTATAGTGTGGATACATCGTCAGAGCAATCCGATACTACTTGTAGATTCATTGATATGAGTTAGCCTACTGTTTACGGATTTTTGTTAGACGTAGTCTGGGGATTATTCTGGGCACATTGGATACTAACTGGTAATGGAAATATCTCGCATCTCACAACACTTCGGATCTAGAAGATGATGAAGCGCGAAATGACATTTTGTCACACTAAGGACGAGTGTGTTCATTTCTACGAACCCTATGCTCACAAAAAAGGGTTTGGTGTTCGAGTAGGTTCGCAACATTTGAGAAAAAAGAATAATTATGAAGGAGAGGTGGTGAAATTTTATGCCTACCTTTATTATCTTTGTAATAGAGAAGGCTCCACGACGAAGTCAATGTTGAGAATGGTTGTCAAACTGGTGATATGTCGGCCGGTTGAACTAGGTTCAACCAGTGTCGGTCATAAAACTGGCTGGAATACCACCGGTATGATGTTGTGGTCAACACTGGTCAAATCCGGTCAGACTCGGGAATTCTGGTGGTTCAACCGGAATGTTAAAGTGCCGGTATCTGAAGTCTGAACACATATATATTCATCACTGCCGGAGAATGGGTGGCCGGAGCTTGTCAGTTTATCTTCTAGTGTGTTTCATCTCATTCGACACCACCTTCCGAACCAATCAACAGTTCCGGCCATTGGGTATGTTGACCACTTATTTTCCTTATTTATTTGGACACGCAAGCGGTTATGCATTGTTTTTAATACTAAGTCTTTTGCAGGGATGTTTGTAGGTTTCAATCATCACCGACAAACTTGTGTGTTTGGCGCTTGTTTGTTATATGACGAGACAACTCCTTCTTTTGAATGGTTGTTTGAAGCATTTAGTCTGTGCATGAAGAGGAAACTCCTAGTGACCATCTTCATAGATCAGGACATCGGTATTGCAGCTGCCCTTAGAAAGGAGTGGCCTAATGTGTTTCATGCCCTCTGTACTTGGCACATCTTGATGAATGCGAAGAAAAATCTTAAGAAGAACAAGAAATTTTGGCATAAGTTCCAAAATCATCTTGCTTATCTTTTCTACTACGTCGACAGCGAGGCCGAGTTTGATGAGGCATGGAGCAAGATGGTTTCTGATTGTTTTCCCGGTAGTGAAACTGTGGATGGCCACCAATGGATGCAATATCTGAAGAAATTTCGTCATCAATGGTATTCCTTATATATGAGAGATCAATTCACAGCGTGGATGTTGACAATGCAAGCCAGTGAGTCGTGCAATGCACAAGTGCGACTCTTCTTGACACCGAAACATAATCTCGACGAGTTTTTCATCCACTTTACCTAGTACTGGATCAGAATACTAGTTTAGTTTTTCTAGATATTACTTAGCACCTTAGAGATATTTATAGACACTTAATCTGGTATTGTTATGTGATGGTGTGATATATGTTTGTGTTATTTGGATATTTACTCTTTTTGTATATGGATATCAGTCTGGGTAATCAAAATTTTGGTTTTCTTCATACATTTTTCTAGATATTACTTAGTACCTTAGAGATATTTATGTACTCTTATTCTGGTATTGGTATGTGATGGTGTGATATATGTTTCTGTTGTTTAGATATTTTCTCTGTTTGTATATGGATATCATTCTGGGAAATCAAAATTTTGGTTTTCTTCGTACGTTTTACCGGATATTACTTAGCACCTTAGTGATATTTATAGACTCTTATTCTGGTATTGTTATGTGATGGTGTGATATATGTTTGTGTTGTTTGGATATTTGCTCTTTTTGTATATGGATATCAGTCTGGGTAATCAAAATTTTGGTTTTCTTCATACATTTTACTGGATATTACTTAGCACCTTAGTGATCTTTACAGACTCTTATTCTGGTATTGGTAATTGATGGTGTGATGTATGTTTGTGTTGTTTGGATATTTGCTCTGTTTGTATATGGATATCAGTATGTGATGCTCTAAAACACAACACCTAACAATGGCCAAGTGTAACCAATGAAAGGGACTGCAGTATAGTGGCACAAGTAATAAATATCGAATCCACGGGTCTCTAGAGTTACTATTACTCAGCTTCAGTTCATTATCTAGCAAACTAGATTAAGGATTGATTAACTAAACTACTCTACTAACTAAACTAAGTAAAACTACTAATTACAGTTTGGGAACTCACTTAGGTATGAATCCCCCTAGCTCCTCAATTAGGTCCAAGTTGTAATTCCTTTTGGTTGATTTACTGTTGATTAAACTGCGGAAGATCCGACAGTAGCTTGGAATCTCTTAAGCTGACCAAGCCCTCTCAGTCTAACTATCCAGCAGACGACTAGTCTACACCGGGATAGAAAGCTGAAGCAATAAGCACAGAACTCCACTACTGGAATTGGATTCCAGTACAAAGCACTAAACTGGCTAACTCTCGTATAGCCAATCTCCTACTACCGAATGATGAGACTCTAGCAACCTAATCAGATTCTATCTATCTCAGATTGCAGCAGGAATCAGGAAAAGTTGATCAGACTTCAATTGACTCAATAAACATGCATCATTCGATTAAAATCAAACAGTAATATCATCCCAAGTCATTGCAATCAATCCCTAACACATAGAACTAGGGTTCTTCATCCCCAAGTGAGAGAGGGGTTCTACTCCATAGAGAGAGAGAGAGGAAAACAAGATACAAAGCAGTCATACTCATAATTATGGGAAGAATCTGCTCTGGGATGATGATTTCCACTCCTATGACGATCTCCAAGCTTGATTTGATGAAACCTAGCTCCAAGATGGCTTCTAGGATGTGTTCTTCGTCCTTTCTCTCTCTAGGGCTCTGTTTTTGCTGAAAAAGTCCGATCCTCTCTCTTGCAGCCCGGAATTGGGTTAAAACCAGGAAATCCCGACTCACACGGGCTGGGCCACACGGCCATGTGGCATACCCAGTTGCCCGTGTGAGTCAAAACGATGCGTTCCAATTAGTTCGATCTTCAGGCTTCTCACACGGCCAGGGTCGCACGGCCGTGTGCGATTTCCATCTGCCCATGTTTGCTCTCGGCAAAACTCGCACGGCCAAGCCACTCCTTCACATGGCCGTGTGAAAATCAGGGCAGCCCGTGTTTTCTCTCGCACAATCTCACACGGCCAAAGTGACCACCTGCACGGCCGTGTGAGTTGTGGGTGTGCCCGTGTGGCCTCCTTTGCGACTTGCCTCGCGCCCGATCTTCGTCCAATCGACCCCAAACTCGCTCCCAAGCCTCCATTCACATACTAGGACCTGAAATATCACAAACAAGCACAACCTAGCGTGAAATCAGCCTAAAACACGAGAAATCACATCTTAAACGGTGTAAGAACAGGGGTAAAAACATGTGTAATTAACGGTCTATCAAACTCCCCCACACTTAACCGTTTGCTTGTCCCCAAGCAAACCAAGTCAGACACAAGGTAAGCTTACATATTTCAATCAACCAACATTGGGGACAAGTCATAAAGGCACAGAACACGTGAATCGTACTGGTTTTCGAACATCAACACCTGACCAACTTCAATAGCAACCTGGACAACCACCACAAAGGACATTCGAGTGCAGCAAAATCGAGTATAGATTGCGTATTGAAAGGAAGAGTCTCCCTTCTGTTCACCAACCAACCTAGACTTGACTCAACCACTTACTCAAAACAGTCAACTCATGCATCCAACTCAAGACATCAGAATAGAGACCGAGCAATCTAGGTCCTCACCGGGGTACAAGAGTATATAGAATATGAAAATGAATCACTCACTCTCGACTAGTGGGGTCAGGACAATTTGATGCGAAAAATGCGCATGCTATTTTTCTCAATCCCTAACATCTCTTCACCATGATGGCAGCCTCTAAACGCTAGAGTTCACATATGGAGTGTCACCACTAACTAATCAGGAGGTCTTAGACACAGGTTCACATGATTGGCTAGGGTCTTGGACATGGGGAAAAGGCCTTTTAGGTGGTGGAAGTATTCATAGCACAAGGTTCCACATTTCCAAACCCAAACAATCACAGTCAAACAAACCGGTATTTCCTTTCTGCTATTCTGCATTACTTAATATCTCAAGAGTACAAGAGCGAAGGAGGTAAAAATGTCAGCATTTCCAAGCCAGACCGCTAAGAAACACTACTTACTGGGCATTATTCAGATTTTTGGTAGTGGCTCTCTTTGCTTTCAATTTTTCTTTGTTTTTCTTTCATTTCCTTTTCACTTCTTAAGAGAGCCACCACTTCTGCATATATTTCAAACACATGCCCAGCTCAACTTTTAAGCACTACCTCCAACACTCACATCAAATTTAGCAGAAACAGCAGAGAATATGTAAAAACCACTCTGTGGAACCTTCTAAAAGATGTAAACAGGGTGATTTTTTTCATTTCAGACCAAAAGAAAGGATAACACACGGCTCAAAAGGGCTGACTAGGGGATATGACACATCAGGATAGTCAAATTTGGTCGTGGGCTAATCCTATGCCCCCATCATCTTAGCTAGTGACAACGTGAATGCTACACATCATGGAAGAGGGATCTATCGCACAAGAAAGAAACGAGCAGGCTCAAATCTCACATGGCTACCTATATGCTCTATCTCACATTCTGATACCCTGAACTAGATGCATAAGAGACTGTCAAGAACAAGTAATCAATCCAAGTCACAGTTGGTAAGCAAACAGTTGAAAAACTGAACCCCTACACAACTCTACTGCACGTCTTAGTCCTCATCATAGGTTGTCCTAGTCACAATCAAGCTGTCATGCATCAATCGAAAACCATTCAATTCATCAATCAAAACATAGTGCCAATATGATCAAACAACAGTACTTGGAGCCCTCAAATCTCGAGATTTGGACAGTGGACTAGGCTCCAAGCACACATATATACATTCCAACCGATACAAAGCACCCCCCACACTTAAGCACGACATTGCCCTCAATGGAGCAGAGGGATAGAGAAGGGGAACGATGTTACCGGATTGAAACTGCTGGGGGACTGGAAGTGGACCAGTCAGCGAGAAACAAACGGGAAGATGGACAGTTCTGAACGAATCGAACACCAAGAACACACTAGCACACGGTGTGTTAGGGATAAGTGTTAGCCCAGATGGCTACAGCAAAAACAATCCACAAAAGAAAAAAAAAAAGAAAAAACAAAAACAAACGACACTAAGTTCAAGCTCCTCACACATGGAGCAAACACACACAAGTCTAAAACGAAAAGAAAAAAAACAAAACACACTAAGAGGGGAAACGAGTACAGCCTACTCGTCGCCGAGGTTGTCCAGATCGAAGACGATGTCGTTCATGAAGGCGTCACCACCATCAGCACCATCATCACCATCCGCTGGGGGAGGTGGAAGTGGAGAGTCCTCCCAGGGAGTCCTCCAAGGTGGTGGGGCGGGCGGCAGCAGTGTCATCCACGTCCTCGGGCTGGACCTCCTCATCAGCTGCACCCTCTGGAACCTCCTGCTGGACCGCCTCTAGAATCTGAGGTTGAGGAAACCCCTCGATCCACATGACACCTCGCTCTTCTCGAAGCAGGAGCATTTTGGTGAGCGTAGCCCGGCCGAAGGGAGTGGTCCCTCCCTGCTCTGTGCACCCCTGCAGGGATATCTGGAAGTACTCTGCCAGGCAGGTGATGAGGGGAGTGTAGTGGAGTTTCTTCAGCTCAGAAGCACTCTTCTCGAAGGTCCTCGCCACCATCGAGCCCAAGTGTAGGGGATGATCCCTCTGGCGCATGGACTGGATGAAGTACAGGGATCGCTTGGTGATGGCGCTGGCACTGTCTGAGGCTGGGGTGTAAGACTTGGCCAGCATGTGATGGAGGAGACGGTTTTCAAGCTGCAATGTGCTGGCCTTCATCTTCCCCGCCTTGAAGGGAAGATGCCGTGGCCGAGCGAGGCTGAAGTACAGCCTCCCGAAGTCCACCCCTGCTGGCTCGGCGATCTCGGTGATGAAGGTCTTGTCATTGACCAGGTTGAGGCCGAGGGCGTCCGCCAGCTCGTCGTAACTCATGGAGCGTGGTTCACCGCCGAGTCGGAACTGGACTGCAGCTTCGTCCTTCCAATCGGCCGTGGCTGCGTGCTTGAAGGTAGTGTAGAACTCAAGCACGAGCTCATGGTAAACCGTCGCGCGAATGCTGAGCAGGCGGCGCCAGTATTTTTGTTGGTGACAACGGGGGAGAGGTGCTCGTAGCAGTTGAGCTTCTCCAATTCGCGCTTCGACCAGTAATGATGCTGCCCAAACTTGCAGGCCAGGAAGTTCTGAAAACTATCCCGGTGGGCCCCCCTTCTCAAATCTTGAACATACTGATGC